TTAATAAGACCTTCTAAGATTCCTGCTAAATCTCTCCTGATGGAAGAGTTTTTCAAGCTGAATATGTTACAGAGGCTGTGTAAAACAGTAGTACAACTATTGAGATCAGATGTAAAGATGGTGTTGTGTTTGAGGTAGAAAAATTAGTTCTTTCTAAACTTTATGAAGAAGGCTCCAATAAATGACTTTTTAATGTTGATTGACATGTTGGAATGGCAGTTTCAAGTCTGTTGGCAGATGTTCATTCTTTAGCAAACATAGCAAGAGAAGAAGTGTTTATCTTTAGATCTAACTTTGACTATAACACTCCTCTAAAACATCTTGCAGACAGAGTGGCCATGTACATATGTGCTTATACGCTCTACAATGCTGTTAGACCTCTGGGCTGCAGTTTCATGTTAAGGTCTTACAGTGATTATGATTATGATACAGTGCACAGCTGTATATGATTGACCCATCAGGTGTTTGATATGGTTATTGGGGCTGTGCCATTGGCAAAGCCAGGTAAGCTGCAAAGACAGAAATAGAAAAGCTTCAGGTGAAAGAAATGACTTGCTGTGAGGTAGTTAAAGAAGTTGCAAAAATAATTTACATAGTGCATGATGAAGTTAAGGATAAATCTTTTGAACTAGAGCTCAGCTTGGTTGGTGAACTAATTAAATGAAAACATGAAATTGTCCCAAAAGATATAAGGGAGGAAGCAGAGAAACAGGCTGAGGACTCTTTGAAGGAAGAAGATGAATCAGATGATGACAGTATGTAACCTTTTCTTCCCCCTCTCTTCTGGTTTATTTATGTGACAGCTCCATATGACTAGCACCATGGATCATATATACCCACTGACCAGTTTTTATTAAATTTTTGTCTTACAAAAAAAAAAGGTGAAGAACAAACATGCCAAGGTAAGATAAAGCTGCCTTCCTCTGAGAGCTGGTAACTTGCAGAGTTAAAGTTAGAGCTGCCCTGCTTATGTACAGAAGAGTGAACAGAATCAGAAATTCCTCTTTTCACCCCAAGTCGATTGCAAGTGGGGGAAAAAAAGATGTGACATGAAGGACCATAGGTGTTTTGTAAGAAAACGTGATTAGACCAGAGGAAGGTGTTTGTCTTTTTCAGGCAATGACTTGTACCTGACTTTAGAATTTATACAAACCATTCCTGTTTTTTAAGTAACTATATGTTAAAGTCATAAGTGCCTCCAGTATCAACTTCATAGGTGTGTATGGAGAACCTAGAGTAGATGGTACTTTCCATTTAACATGACCGTAAACCTGAAGTGAGCCATCAGCCCCAAGGTATATAGAGCACAGGAAATGTAAAGACCACAAGAACTATACACATCACTCTGTAGCTTGGAAGGAACATGGAGTGATTTTTCCATGGAGGGTGGGGATGTGTCTAAGGATGCTGTTTCAGACTACACTGAAGGGAGCAGGGCAGCCTCTCTGCTGATGCATAGCTTTATTAGCTGTGCATGAATACTCTGAGATGAACTTTTAAGCATTGAAACCCAAAGCATGCATGCTTCAGAGGCTGCAGTGGGTAGCCAAGGAGAATTAACCAGATGAACAGTTAGTTTTGATAGGGAGAGAGGCTTTTCCATGTTATATCTTATGACAGCAAGTGGAAAATGCTTCAGTGAGGCAGGCCAGCACTTAAAATCAGAACACAGCGATAGCCAGAAGTGCTGAGGTCAACAGACTTCTTAGAAATATGGTTATCATTTGCTGAGAAAGCCTTTCCTAGTGGCCCAGACATGCATGCGTTTGCAACCACTGTCATTTCATTTCTTCCCCTAAACGTGGGACCGTGACCTCAGTTGACGCCAGTGAGAGCTGTGTGCTTCCAGAAAAGGGAGGTTTAGTTTATGCACAAATCCACCACAAGTAGGAAATAGGTAATGGAGCACCAAGGTGCAATAGGCTTACATACCACACTCAGTTCAGGTGACAGTGCTGCTTGTTATCTCCTGGGGGTGGCTTTAAATACTTTCCTCCCTCTGCTGGGGGAGGGGGGAGACAAAAGAAAAAAAAGACCACAAGAGGAACTAACTACTAGTCTGCAGATTGAAAAAGACAGGTGAGGGTGTGAAGAGGCTTGGAGTGATATTTAGTGATTTGGACAGTACAGATGAGGCACATGTGACCTAGAGGGAAGTATTAGCAGGTAGAAAAGTTCATCCCTTATAAACAGAAGAAAAATGGCCGACTTTTGTGCAGAGTGCTGTACCTCTCTGAGTCTTGTAGTCCACAGTTGTAAAATGATATCTAGGCTGAGTGTGCCCAAAGAATTTTTTAGTTTTAAAGTTCAGTGAAGTAAAGACAGGCTAAATTAGCAAACAGAACTAGAGATGTAGTCAGTGGTGGAAGTGTGTCAGTTCCTAGGTTTGAACCCCAGAACTGTGTACATCAATATAGGCAACAGGGCTAGGGGTAGCTCATTTATGAAGATAGAGGCACTCAGAGTGTTCTAATGTCACGAACAGGAGGGAATTATTGAGAAAGAAATATCGGCAAGAGAAAAATACCAAAGAAAATAAGGGTCTAAGTGTAGTAAAGTGAGATGCTGATTGCTAGTCTGTCATTTCCTTCCTTGTGGGAAGAGACACTTGGCTGTGACTTCTTAGGGTATGGACAGCATTGCATGACACAGTTAGGCATGCTTTGCCCAGCTCTCTTGGCTTAGGGCAGCAGTCCTGGCCACAGAATGTTCTCTGCTCTTCCAACCTTACATCCTGGCTGGAGGAAGTGACCACCTCTTCTGGGAGCTCTGACCTGTTCCACCATTGGCCAGTGGCCATGTGGGTGCATTTCATTTGGAATACATTTTTCTTTGACTCCTTCAGTAAGCCACACTCCAAGTTCAGCTTTTACCAGAAATAGTGCTGGAAGTTTAGTATCCCCTATAATTCTCAGCATGATTGGAATTTTTATGCAAAAGTTCCCCAAAGTTGGGTTCAAAGGGGACAGTGGTCCCTTTATTGAGAAGAATATTGTTCCCTCTGCATTAGGAAGAGGCGTGAATTACAGAGACCTGGAGGTTCTTTGAATTATGACTATGTTTCAAAGAGTCATGATCATCTCAGCAGAGTAGGGGCCCAAGTAGTCAGCTAAGAGTGAGTCATCCGGTGAAGGACTAGGAGGTTAGCAGGCGAGACTTAGCATGGCATCCATAGAGAAGGTACTGGAGAGTCTGCTGCTGCAGAAAACTGAAGGCTTGTCAGTCCAGTGACAAATACACAAGCGTGTGAGGCTCACACCAAAGCTAGTTAAGAAGCAAGTTTTGAAGTGAAGACTGAGGCGGGAGCCCAGGGCCAGACTGGACAGCACAGAGACCCAACTTCTCAAAAGCTTTAGAAGCATCCATGGTTGGCCACCAGAAAACTACCTCCTGGTATTGATAGTGATGGTTTTGATAGCCAGCCTGACAGAATGGGGCTCTGAGGTAGCTGCCCAGCATTATTCTTTGCCACCATGGACACAAGTAATGAAATATGGCTTTGTAGGTCATAGTGTACTCTCAATTATACACAGTTTCAGAAATAAATGAGAGTCTATTGGAGTCAACTAATGAGTAGCTTTGTCTCTGTGCCAATAAATGCTAAACTGTCTCTTCAGTTATGATATAGGCATTGTTCTTTCTATGTGTCTGTGTCCCTTCCTACCTCTCTCTTTTCTTCCCCCCATACCCCACCCCCACCCTGTGTGTTTTCAAAGATTTTTTTTTAAAGTCTAAGCATACAATGGCATGATGGTTTATTCCTATGATCCCAGCACTCAGGAGACAGAGGCAGGAGAATTGCTGGAAGTTTGAGGCCAGCCTGAACTACATAGAAAGTTCTAGGTTGCCTACAGTGTATATGAGACCCTACCCCAAAAGCCAAAAGAGAGAGAGAGAGAGGTCCAATCAACAAAATAGTATACATAGTATGTGTTAACTGCTCCAGACACCAGCAGGATAAGCTTTTCACATTAGTGGATGCAGGCGATAGCTATAGCCAAGTTTATTATTTGTAAATGATAAGTTCAGTGGAGATCGTGCAGAATATAAAGTTGACAAAGAAATACCTCTAGGTAGTTTTAAAATACAAAAGTTTAAATATTCTTCTCTCTCATTGTGTTTTATTTATTTTCATTTTTTAGTAAAAGAGAAACAGCATATGCTAAAAGAAATCAGGTACATGTCAGGGTCTGAAATGATTCAAATAATTCTCCCCTTAGCTGTATTGCTATCATGTATGAATGCATTTCGATTCAGAACTTTTCTGAAGAACTTGTACATTATATTGCAACATCTGCTTCTGCATTTTAATTTCTCTCCTTCCTTTTATAGATATTTGCATACTTTTTTTTCCAAATGAGACCTTTTGTTTGCCACAAGAAAGCTATTACCCAGAATGTTAATGGGTTTTCAGCTATTAAGATGTAATGTATACCTTGAGTATTTAACTATAAATTTGAAAAGTCTCCATGAACAATCTCAAAGGAATACTCAGAATGCACTCCTGGTAAATTGGCTCATTTTCCTGTAATTTACTGGAAGTGCTGATAGGAGAGCAGTCCTAATGTGAAAAGTACATTAATCCCTGGAGTTATATTGTGTGGATTAAATTATTACTCTCAAAGAATACAATGTATGAGGCCATTTAGCCCTCATTCACACATGTTATTTAGAATCACAGTAGAAAAACAACCACTTACCTTTTGATGCACAAAATTAGAATCAATACATTTAATATCTTTTAAAACAAGAGGCAGTAATAGTTGCAGTTTTACATAAGGATTGCTCTTTTCTGAAACAAGGGCTGTGTCCCTTAGTAACTTAGAGGTCAGTAATGTAGCTTCTTTCCTGTCAGTCGGAGGGATGAGCCTTTCTTCTCCCTAAGCATCTGCCACCTTGGGGATTGCTAGGTAAGGTGGCCAGCATGCAGGATTCACAACTGCAGGGACATTCAGGGTCTTATTTGGAATTTCATCTAACCGTATTTCTCTCTTTGCCAGGAAACTGAAAGTTGTGGAAACATAACTTGTGACAGCAGGGGCTTCTTATCTGGTAAGCCAGCCATTTGTGATTCTGAATGATTGGAGGAGATGGGAAGCCACAGCTGAGATTCAGCAAAGCCACCAACTGCAGACTGCACCATGGACATAAAACTGGACCCTTCCCGGGATGATCTGCCTCTCATGGCCAACACCAGCCACATGCTTGTGAAGCACTATGTACTGGATTTGGATGTGGATTTTGGAAGTAGAGTCATTGAAGGTACTATAGTTCTTTTCTTTGGAGATGGAAACAGATTTAAAAAACAGACGAGTTCCACCCAGAAAACCTTCCAGATGGAGTCAGAGGAAGACTGCACATTTGGGACAGCTGAACCCTGCGATGTTCCTGAGATGGATGCATGTACCTATTCACCTCAGATGGGGTATAGTGAATTTGCAGTCTGTGGTAAAGGTGATCAAGATGCCTTCAATAACGATGGTAACCATGACAACCGGGAACATGATTCTGAGATCTCTAGCTCAAAGTACTGCTGTGACACAGAGAATCATGGGAGAGAGGATTTCTTGCTAGTGTTGGACTGCTGTGATTTATCTGTGCTAAAGGTAGAAGAGGTGGACGTGGCTGCTGTGCCAGGACTTGAGAGATTTACAAAGGCTCCCAAGCTCACAGCTACTCCTGAGAAGCTCAGGCGTGAGATTGTCCGTGACCTTGTGGCTCTGCCTGCAGATGGTTGGAGGGAGCAGTTAGACTGCTACACTCGCTGCAGCCAGGCTCCTGGCTGTGGGGAGCTCTTCTTTGACACTGACAATTGGAGCTTACAGATCAGGAAGACAGGGGCTGAGACAGCTGCTGACTTCCCTCATGCCATCAGGATATGGTATAAAACTAAACCTGAGGGGCAGTCAGTGACTTGGACTTCAGACCAGAGTGGCAGGTAGGTTATCCAAGTGCTTCTCTACCCCTAATCTCATGCACTTCAGGGGTGCTCTCTAAGAAGAGACTAGGTCTGTGGGGGTCTTCTGCTTGTTCCATAGCCTTACCCAGACAGACTCAGAGCCAGACCCCAGGTAAATCCTGCAGCATGCTGAACTGTTGTCAAGATCACCTCCTATAAATTAGGATGGAGAGATTCCGTGATTCAGTTCCAGCATTTCTGAGTTAGGAGCTTGAAATGTTAGCTTGCTGCTGAAGTGCTGAGCCTGGCAGTTGGTTGGGATCACTGGTGGGGACCTCTAGGGCTGCTGATGGGATAGTGCATCTCTGAGCAAGTGCTTTCTCAGAACAGCCTCAGACCCCACTGCTCTGAGGCTGGATGGGTGTGAAGCTCGGCCAGCCATGCTGTCTGACTTTCTCACTGTACCTGACTCAGCAGCTGCAGATGTCATTTGATGTGAACCTCCAATGCCCTAGAGGGCTGCTTCTGGGGATTAAAGTGGTCAGACCTGCTGAACTGCACACTGGTTTCTTGGGATGTGGCTCTTGGTTCTTGTGGCTCTTGTGGCTCTTGATTCTTAAGAGTCAGGAGAGTCACTGCCTGGCATAGGCAGCCCCTTGACCTTGTCTTACTGACTTTTTAGAATATGAAAATTTCTAAATCAAACTTTATTGGTTTTGCAAGTCAGCCTGGCGAATCATTGAGGAGGTAGATAGAGGCTTGCTCATCTGTTAGCTGCTGTTGAGAGCATTCGCTTAGATTGTTGGCCCCTCTGATGCTTGCATCTCTTCCTCACTCTCCTCCCTAAATCCTTTAAGGTTTGCTTTGAAAGTACCACTTTAACATTGAGCTCTAATTAGCCTGTCCGTTGCCTGTAATCTTCCCTCTTGCTCTGATTTCCAGGCCTCTCAGAGGGAGTTCACTTTCTGCCTTGTGTCTGCCAGAGTTTGAGGAAGCCTTTGGGAAAAATTGCAGGGTTAGTACAGAGTTACAAGAATACAAAAGCATAGTGATTATTTGTAGTGTACCTTACTGGGCATTCCCTGGAGACTGTGAAGGAGCAGGTGTTTTTACGGTAGCTTCAAAGTTTTTGGAATCACCGAAGATTTTCACTAAACTTAACCATATAATACTATTGAGTATTTAAGTAGGAATTTATAGTTTTTATGCTCCCAGATGTTTCACTCTTGAACTAAAATAGTGAGAAAGAAGTAACTACTGACAGTTGGAAGGTTCTATCCTAATTGCTAACTACTAAGACAGATTTGAATCCATTACATGCAGAAGACCTGATTTCCCTGAAGAAAGGTCAACACAGAATTCCCTCTTGATGTCTCCATTTGGCATGATTCAGTAAAACACATGGTTGAGTTATTTGTGGAGTCATAAGAGGATACAAAGTGTCAATTTTAGAATGAAATCCCAGAAAGCTATTCTTTCTCTTACTTTCCTTTGGGGGGTAAGACTTTGTGAGACTTTGATTAGAGTCAAGATACCCTTCCATAGATAGCCACAAATCTCAAAACTCTTCCATGTGCCTAAGAATACGATGCTAGGTGTGGTGGCTTCATGCCTGCAATCCCAGGGGCATGCAGAAGTGAAGACAGGAGGATCATCAAAAGTTCAAGGTTAGATTGGGCTACAGAATGAGACCCTGATTCAAATAAATTATATAAACAGGCCTAAATGTATCCAGGTAACTGTCTAGAAACTAAGAACTTTCAGTTAACTTTTGTTTGATAGTAAGTCTATGAAGTCATAACCATTTTGGAGGGTACCCCCTCCCAGGATGGAAAGTAAAATGTAGCAATGACGTGAAGCAGCCTCCCTAGAGAATGTGGAAAGGTGTCACCTGACCTAACTTTGCTTTTGTTTTATTTTATATACATGCATGTGTTTGTGCTGTGCATGCATGTTCACATGTATGTGCATGCATGTTCACATGTATGTGCATGCATGTTCACATGTATGTGCATGCATGTTCACGTGTATGTGCATGCATGTTCACGTGTATATGCATGCATGTTCACGTGTATATGCATGCATGTGGAAGCCAGAAGTTGATCATTCTCTGCTTTATGTACTGAGACAGAATATCTTCCTTGAACTTGGAGCTCACTGATTCAACTATTGTAACTGGCTTGCCCTGTGAATTCCCTGGTCTGAATTTATGTGGGTACTGGGGAGCCAAGCTCAGTTCCTCACCCATGGGCAGCAGATGCTTTGTCCTCTGAGCCGTCTCCCTAAGCCCTGCCTTTCTTTTGCAGTACTAGGGATCAAATCCAGAGCCTGAGTATGCTACACAGTGAGACTATCTCAAACAAAATGTGGTATGGTAACTTGTATGTACTGGCTCACAATGTGATCTTGTAATCGCTTCTAAGGCAGGATTATGAGTTGGAGACCAGCTTGAACTACATAGCAAAAAAAAAAAAATACCAATAATAATACAACGAAAGTATTCCCACGAGAAAAAGAATATTCAGGGAAATCTAAGTGAAGCCTGCCATATCATGCTCACTGAGTGTGACAGACACAGCAGGTGGCTGTACAAGGGAAAGGAGGCGTGCGGGGGTGGGGGTGGGGGTGGGGGGATGGGAACTTCTTATCTGTAAATAAACTTAAAATCTAAACTGTTACAAAAATTAAGTCAACTTAAACCATAGCTGCAAACTTCAGAAGAGGTCACCTTCACTCAGCCCTGAAGCCCCTTCTTGTAAGATTGTCCTCCCTCTTTTACTAAGTGACCTTGTTTTCTGGAAGGAATTGAGAACTGCCTGTGAAAGAGAGAGAGAGTTTTCCTTTGGGGAATTGTGACTAGTTTGTCTGCTATTCTTCTGGTTCTAAAAGAAATTTGCTGGAAGTGGGGTTTGCCACTTAGGGGTTGTGCAATGTCTTGAACCTAAATGTCTTGTCTTGCCTGCGTCCTAGGATATTGAACTGCAGGTGACATCTCAGAGTGACTGATAGCGTGGATCCTTACATAACAGTTGGATGGCACACATCTTAGACTGATGTCTACTTTATGTGGTGTGTGTGTGGCTTTCAAAATGACTCGATGAGAGAAGGATGGACAAACATGTGTACAGGTGGCCTTTCAAAGCTAGAGAGAAATGGGGACATAACTTTTTTATTCTAGGTCCCCAGGACACCAAAGAAACTGTGGAAGTGGAAATCTACTTGAAGAGCATGTGCTTTCTTCATTTTCCTTGCATTTCTTGAAGTTGTTCAATTCCACTAAAGAAAATGTTGTTTAAAAGTAAGGCATCCCCTCTGGTAAGCCTCCCTCCCACTGATGATCATGATGGGAGTTGGGAAAGCAGCCAGCTGCTCCAGGAAGTCTGGCTTTGTTAGCTGATGATGTCACTGAATGAGAGTTGAGTGGAGGAGATGTTGAGTTCAACATAGAAAATATATTTTCTAAACCATGATTTGGGGGAATAAATAACCTGGGAAAATAAATATTAAACTTTCAGCTTTCCTATAGCATTTGTGGTGTTTCTTTGTTTCAGAAAAGGCCAGGATGAAGCTGATAAACACTAACTTTTCTGGCATGTTCTTTCAGCTGTTGGACCAAGGACAGTGTACACTACTCATGTTTTTAGATTAACATCAAAGCCAGATGTTAGATATATATACCGCCTCCCCTACTGAATTAACTTTATTGATTTATAGCTCACTACATAAAAAATTTTTAGCCGGGCGGTGGTGGCTCATGCCTTTAATCCCAGCACTTGGGAGTCAGAAGCAGGCAGATCTCTGTGAGTTCGAGGCCAGCCTGGGCTACAGAGTGAGTTCCAGCACAGGCACCAAGCTACACAGAGAAACCCTGTCTCGAAAAACAAAACAAAACAAAAAGAAAGAAATCTTTAAAAAGAACAAGTAGAAGAGTTCAGATTTCTATTTATTTAAATGTCTTTATTTAATATTCATACATGCATATAATGAGTTTGGATCAGACTCTAACTTCCATCCCCTCAGTTCCTCCCTATTTCCCTCCACCACCTTTCCTACCGGTGTCAGGTGTTCTCACTCCCTCCTCCCTCCTCTCCCTCCTCTCCCCGTCTCCCCCCCTCCCTCTCTGTCTGCCTGTATGTGTGTGGGTATGGTTGTATGCGTGTGGAGGAGGCATCCCCTGGAGCCCCACCTTTGAAAATCTGTGCTTCCTCCTCCAGAGCCAACAGAACAGATGCCAACAGCTCCTCAGATAGGGTTGAGATGTCCTGAGCCTGTCTCCCATTGGTGGGAGTTTTGTTAGCTTGATTTTATATAGAACTTGTATAACTAAAACTTTTCATATACTGTATTTTGACTTTTCCTCCCTCTCAACTCATCCCATATCTTCCCTGTAGTTGTACTTTTCAGTCCTGTCTGCCAGTTCCCCAAAAAAAGCAGAGACTTCTTATTATTTATAAAAGCTTGGATGATAGCTTAGGCTTGCTTCTAACTAGCGCTTATAACTTAGATTAACCCATATCTTTTAATCTATGTTCTTTTACGTGGCTTGGTTACCTTTACTTTGTAATGCCCATGCTGCTTCCTCTTAGGCTCCTGGCATCTTCCTTCATCTTTGCCCTTCTTCTTCCCAGCATCCTCTTTGCCTCAGAAATCCTGCCTAGCTATTGGCCATTCCTCTTTTTATTAAACAGTCGAAGTGACAAATCTTCACAGTGTACAAAAAGGTTATTCCACAACACTTTTCTACCTCCCTACCGCCCCCCCCAACTTTAACTTTATGTTCCTTCTCTTTTTCAAAAAAGAAAAGCACACAAAAACGTAAATCAAAACAGGCACAAGTTCAATAAGACAAAAATGCCAAAACAAAGCAAAATGAAGCAAAAAGTCCACAGAAATGCCACCGAGTTCATTTTGTGTTGGCCAACTACTTCTGGGCTGGGGACCTGTCCTGGAGTGTGGTTGATAAACAACTAGTGACACTCCAGTGGAAAAGCTGATTTTCCGTTTGCCAGTGGGTATGAGTTGCAGATAACTTCTTGGTT